TCTCTTCTTTAACAACTCTGTAAATCGTAGATTTCCCAACACCAAGCGTGCTACTAACTAATTCCACTGTGTCATCAACACTTTTACATAAATGTTTGTCTGTAAATGATTTAAAACAATTAAATATTAATGTTTTTTCATTAACTGTTAAAGGACCGATTTTTTGTCGTTTACGCGGCCCTTCCAAATTTTCCATGAGCACACTAGCATTCACACTGCACCTTGCAAGTTGCAACTAAACGACATTTAGTAAACTGTCAAGAATACACAACTTGGACCTCCTTACTAAATGGAAAACCTATAATCGCATTTTCGGTGAAATTTGTTGGGAAGGTATTTATCTACTTATAATTCGATTACTGTAAGAAATTCTTGGAATTAAAATAAAACAAAATTGGCAAATAGGTACTTATTGAAAATAATCTTAAGATACGGCTATGTAATTTAATACACAGGGCTTTTGGCCTGTCCAAACCTTTTTCTATTGTTCTGTACAGCTTATGTTTATAAAGGACCAATAAAAGACCCAAAACTTGTAATAGCTCAGGTACATTTATTACAATTTTAGGAAATATTTAGATTATTCTGTAAAAATATTTAAAATGACCGTACTGTTTTGCATTAGAAATGCTGTTTTATTACTCTCTCATACATAAAAATAGACTATAGTATTGTATAAGCTGTGATATTAGACTGCACTCCTGACTCTATTCACCAAGAACAAATTTCAGTCGTGCAGTGTTACTTATATTTGTAATCTATCTATATTATGTATATATAAAAATGAATCCCTATTTCCCTTGGTCACGGCATCACGCGTGAACGGCTGGACCGATTTCGCTAATTCTTTTTGTTGTTGTGTGTTATTGTCAGGAGAAGGTTCTTATGAAAGAAAAAATTAAGAAAATTGCGCGGAAAATTAGAAAATCTTCTATATATATAAAAATGAATCGCTATTTCCCTTAGTCACGGACGGCATTACGCGTGAACGGCTGGACCGATTTCGTTAATTCTTTTTTTGTTGTGTTTGTTGTTGTCAGGAGAAGGTTCTTATAAATAAAAAAATTAAGAAAATTGCGCGGAAAATTAGAAAATTTAGGAATACTTAACCACCATATTAAATTATTTTTAATGTAACCATAGCGCTTTTACAATTCAAACTTTTTTGATGTAACCTTATGGCGTTTGACATAACATTGACAGAATGCGTGTTGCAAATATCGTCAAAGAGGATCTAAAAAAAATTAATATCGTTTAAAACAGATGCTTCGATCAGAGTTATTATATTGATAAAATACATATAAAATAATTTATTTATTATTTCTAACAAAAACTGAATTTCTTAGTGCACATCACCGTTAGTTCAGAGCTATCACGCCTAGTATTAAAAGTTCAATTTAATATGGAGTTTTGGTAAGTTTGGATAGACTAACATACACGTTACTAACATAACACTTGGTTATAAAGAAGAATACAGTCTGTTCGCTATAGTTACGCGGGTTTTGGATAACCAAAATTATGCAAATTAGCCATTGACAACCAGTTCCAATAAGCCTCTTCCCAAGAAATTAGGTAAAATTGCCCTAATGATCAGTATTTTATTTAAGCTAAATAACCCTCTTATTATACATAGACCATATTTTCTGTGTGAAGTGTAATATTAAATTATTATTATTAGGTTTATAATAGCCACATTAGACTCCATTAATGAAGAAGTTTAATTCTGCTCTCAATTATACAGAACATTCTCCAATATTATTTAATTAAAAGGTTGTACATTATTTTTCATTTCATTTAACCAGTTGATATTTCCCCAAAGAACAGGTCAAACTTTCGGGTACTTACCTGGAAATACTCATAAAAATTTTAATCCAAAACTCGCGTAAGTATAGCGAACAGACTGTACAATAGTTTTCTTTAATTAACAGATGAATATATATATAAAAATGAATCCCTAATTCTTTTTTTGTTGTGTTTATTATTTATTATTTCTAAAAAAACTGAGTTTCTTAGTCAATATTTTAAGACAGGACAACGTCTGTCGGGTCCGCTAGTTTTTCCATAAAAATGAGTGCTAAATTACAACACTACCAGTTTTTATTATAAAAATTACATAAATACTTTATATTTTAAATATACGTGTAATAATTATTGTAAATTATGCTTACTTTAATCATTAGAAAAGTTGAATCTGGAGCATTTTGGAGAAAAGTTATTAAGTGATCTTTTTCGAAAATGTTTGATTTTTTAGCCTTGCTCTTGTTATTTACAAAACTAACCAATTTATAATATGTTGATATGTCAATATTATTTTTGATTTTTAAAGTTGTTTTTAATATAACATAAAAATATGCCACCAAGACATTCTCAGAATATTTGGTAATTTTATCTATTTCACATCATTCCATAAAGAAATTATATTTCGACTCATAAATGTTGGCTGATTTTCGGGGCAATAAATCTTTCGAAGCATTCGGTGTGCATCCAATATATTCGGTGGAGTATTTTCGAAATAATCATCAGAATTAGATGAATCAATTGTTAAAATGAAGTTTGTATAGATGCCTGTTTTGTTTTCTGAAGAAAATGTTTACAATAATATAATAATTACCTAAATATTAAATAGAAATATTTTTACTTACCTTATTTCAGTTTAAATGTCGAATAGAATAAGGAAATTTAAGAAATATCTCACAACACCAGGGGGGATATCGCGCATGGTGTTATGGCGGCGCTGACGTCATGCGTAGAGTTGGTAGAGTTGGCGCGAAATTAATATCATATGACAGACTCATCTTGCAGTAGTTTGTGAGTCGTTAATAGTGATTAAAAAGATATTAAGTAGATATTTGTATTATATTATATTATAAGCTTTGTTCTCTGTGAGTGGTTTTAGTGATAACATTGAAAGATTGTGGTACGGATGTAAAAGGAAAGGAAAGAGTTGCCCAAAGGCGGCTCCAGCGGAGGCCCAGGGGTGCATGCAGTTCCCTAGATTAAAATTCTTAAAATCCATGAGCCTTTTATTAAAAAAAAATATGCTAAATAGGCAATTCTACCCTCCTTCCAAAAAAAAACTCGACATGGAGCAGCCCCCTTGCAGTGGCTTGTGACCCTGCAGATAAATTTTCATATGTATTCCAAGCACTTTCAACCTTCCAATATAATAGGGACCGTAAATCAGAACTTCACATAATGTGATGTTGTCAATGAACCAGTGTGAATCACATTAGTTCATTCACAACTTGGGACTTTTGAACTGGAGACTCTACCCTTTAATGGCTAAAAATTTCGCAATATAAGCAAAAGCGAAATTGTAAATGTCACAAAAAAAAAATTCGACTTGTACTTGGTGGATGAATTAAACAACTGTCAGCGACTAGGTCCAGGAAAAATGCAGCGACATTTTATTTTAATTTTGTATATGCACCCATCATATTTTATGTAGCAGTTATTTGTATTTGGTACATTTTTTTATGTTCTGCATTATATTATATGAATGTCTGCATTATATAGTACATGTAAAAAAATATTTTTTAAAAACTTATTTTTACTTAATTGGGCAATATAATGCAGGTAAATGAGTAGCCAGTTACAAATCCTAATCAGGTAAAAATTTCCGGCATACCCAGAGCGAAATTGTTACCAGGATCCCCAGCTTCGAGATGCGAAGATACCCTTTATTTCATTATCCTGGTTATAAAAGCTATTCTTTAGAAGTCGAATTTGTATAACCAAAATAAATCATTAAATAAAGGATAAAAACTGTTCAAAAAATATTTCTTTTATGTATGTATTTGCATTTATGTTCCTTCATAGTTCTTTCCTTACCTATCCCATAATAATATCCATAGATATTTCATGTAATTTCTAAAATATTCTCCTTAATATTCATCAAATTTCTGTAAGTAGCATATATTTTCCTCACACTTTGTCAGTATTTTTAAATTCGCGCCTATACAAACTCTACGCGTGACGTCATGCGCGTGGCTGTTCTATTTTTGACACTGTTGATATCCTACCTTTTATTTTTTATACCATGTCACAACACGTACTAAATGTCAGTCAATCACAGCCAACTTAGCAAGATTGTTAGAAATCTTTAATTACAATTTTTGTAACTTTTATTATTATTTAATTTAATATTATATTCATTAATAGGTATTTGCTGAATTCAAATAAGTTTTGATGTATGATTAAACCAAAAAATAAAGCATTTAATTTATAATATTTTTGAATAATAATATTGTACTTGATTTTTAAAGTTAAAATGTCAAATTAAATAAAGAAGTGTCAGTCATCCATAGCCAACTTAAATAATTTTCGTCAACAGGTAATAAGATTTCACAATAATTTTTATGAATATAATATTTAAACTGGATTGATATAACTATAAAAATATAGGATTAAATTGAAAAAAATTAAATTAGATTAAATATTTAATATACTCATTAATATTTTTATAAGAACTGTCAATACTAAAACTTGTGGTTCTATGGTCAATACACTCAAATTTGACAATTTTCTTTACGCACTGAAGTAAAGTTTTACGAACTCTGTAGCGTGCAAAATGATAGTACTTTAAGAACGGTAGTAGAAAAATAATTTTATTTCTACTATGACTTTTCCTGTATTTACTTAAATATTTGAAAACAAAAAAATTAATGATAAACAACCAAATAATTTTTTTATGTACCTTTACGCAAGCCCGACGAGAGGGGATGCAAAAAGCCCCGAGGCCCGCGCGCAAGAGGGGCCCGACAGCTTTAGCAGGTAGGACCTTTTTTTAGAAGTTCGCCTGAGGACCTTTTGTTTTAGATTTCACCAAGAAAATACCTGATTTTGCTGATAGAAATTTAACACAGAAAGGACTTGATTTTTATAAAAATGCACCTCAAATCTGCCATAACTTGCCAGTGTTTTTGTCCCGGACCCGCAATGGCTCTCGGCGGCCCTACCTATACGTACCTATTTTATGTACAAATTAAATAAATACATACCATTTGTTATATCACATTTGGCCACAATATTTCTCCATGCTGCTTCTTTAATTTCAATACTTTTATATTCCTCTACATCCAATTTCCATAAACATGGATATTTTTTCACACTTTCGATAAAACGTTCCATTTATTACATAAATAAGTAACGTTAACTTAAATTTTAAATTATTTAGTGTCCAAAGAATGCTAAACCAGTCAACATCAAACCGTTAAAAGCACGTACAAACACAAAGTGGTTCGCACTTGCGCTTGCGGGCAACAAGATACAAAAGGGGTGGGATATATTGTGAAATATCGCTGGTCGCTGGTAAAGCATATCTCTGCAGACATGTAATATATCGGCGGCATATATAGATACCTACTCGTAGATATATTATAGCGTCAATGCGCAGCCGGCGGCGTTCGTTCTATTTTAATCATGATGAAACTTTTGTAATAGATAAGTATACAGGGCGTTTCAGAATGTAATGTACATACGTTAACTGTAGGTGTGGAATACTTAGATGATTCGAAATCATCCCTTATTAATGGGTCTATCCAGAGCTGTCACCTATCAGTGAGATTTAAATAATTTTTTGATTTAAATACTTTGATTTTAAATCCTTTTTAAAAAAATGATTTTTGATTTATGATTTAAATCTTTCTGAAAAGTATATTTGATTTTTTATTTAAAAAATTATATTTAAATCTTTTTAAAACGATTTAAATATTTTTATTGACGTAAATCTTTCTGAAATGATTTAAATCTGTAAAATGATGCGATCTTTTTAAAATGATTTAAATTTTCTTAAAGATTTAAATCTTTTTAAAGATTTAAAACTTTTTAAAACGATTTACAACTTTTCAAAATTTAAATCCGTAAAAACATTTATATCTATAAAAACATTCAAGAGACGAGGAGGCTGAAATCACCTGATTCGTCAAAATCGTTATAAACCTGTCCATTTCAGAATAATAATCTAGCCAGCATGTCAGTAGAGTTGCCAACTCTGTGAATCAGAAATCCGGGAGGAAAGAAAAACAAAAAATAGTAAAGTGTAACAAATAATTGCAATAACTAAAGATTATTCTTAAATATGAAATTTTACAATATTTTGACCCGATATTTTTTTTGTAAAGTTGTATATTTACACCGCAAACAGCGGGAAATACTTTTTCATTATAAAACTCTTTACATATGTATTTGAAATTTATGCACACTTTTATTTCAATTTTAACATGAGTTGCATTAAGACGATTATGACTTTTTGACATGTTCAATAAACACGCTCGGCATAGGTAGAGCGAATTAATTAATTTTTTTATTTCTTTGCCTGATTCATACACACATTTTTTAAAAAACTTAACCCAAACGCGCCTACTTTGGTTATTTACTTGCTCGCAATAACTTCACGTACTTCTACTTTAATTATTATCATACAGTTTATCCTCATACATTTATAGACGTATTGAGAGAAGAACTCTTTTAATTAAAACCACTTAATTTCATTATTTTCATAGTTTAAAGATCCGGGATATTTTAGGTACATTCCAGAAGCCAGGAAATTTTGAAAATTCCGGGAGAGTCTCCTAAGTACAAAAAAAAACTATTTTTAAAGAGTCTGATGTATGTGCTTCTATGTGGGTGTTTATGTATGACATTAAACACGTTAATTAAGAGTTGTGGGAAGTGATTTTTTAGAAAAAAAATCACTTTTCTTAAAAACTAGGTCTCCATATTGTTCTGTGGCATCATAAGCATACCAAAAGTATCTTTTAAAGGGTTGAAAAATTCCTATTTAGCAATCGACATGAAATTTTTAAATAACAATTTTCATAACTATAGATATCAATGCTACATAAATCCTTGAAAATTTTATCTCGATCGGATATTTATTAATTAAAATTAGTATTTCCGTAAGAATTGCATTGAACTAATAACGATAAAAAAATAAATATGAGAAAAGTTGATCGATTTTTGCGTTTTATTTATGAGAAAATTACATTACTTAAGTATTCATTATCTTTGGTTTTGTCGCTCATAGGCCTACCTAAAGCATTTTTTATAGAGTTACTCAAATCTATAAAAAGATTTAAATCTTTTGAAAATATTTATTTCGTTTAAAAAGATTTAGATAATTCGAAAAGATTTAAATCTTTCGAAAATATTTAAATCTTTCGAAAATATTTAAATCTTTTGTACAAAAAATAAAGGTCGATTTTTTTTGTTTTATTTTCAACGCGTCACTTACATTCAAACTCACGAGCCGCCACTGCTCTGTCTTATATAGTGTGGATTTTCTTGTGCTCAAAAATGAGAATTCCTTAAGTTGTATACACCATCCCTACTCAACTGTGATCCATCGGAACTTAAACATCGATTAAAAATTCTTCTATTTTGAATAATCCAGTTAGAAAAATGTATCCAATGTATTTCATCTCCCATCTCCAATGTCTATACATATTGAATGTGGAATACATTATCTTAAGATTGGCAATCCAAGAATTTATCAAATGGGGTATTTGATAAAATAGTTGTCATTTTGATCAAATATTAGGTTGATTAAGGTTATTTTAATAGTTAGGTTTTTCTTGAGTTATTCCCCTTATTTACGAAATAAGTTCCTAAGACCAATAAGTCTTATGTCCTTCGTACTTAAGACTTTGGAAAAATTGCTAGATAGGCATATTAGAGACGGGATATTGGTTCAAAGGCCAATATACCAAGACCAATACGCCTATAGTGCAGGGAAATCAACTGAAACAGCTCTCCATCAACTAATAAAAAGGGTGAAGAACACACTGGAAAACAAAGAGGTAATGCTGGGAGCATTCTTGGATATCGAGGGTGCATTTGACAATACCTCCGTTGAATCGATCATTAGATATCTCAAACACAGAGGAATCGAGGACACATGCGTGTCCTGGATCGACTCTATGTTAAGGGAGAGAACTATACACACAACCCTTATGGGAGAGACAACAGCGGCACGGGTAGCGAGAGGATGTCCACAGGGTGGAGTGCTGTCTCCACTCCTGTGGAACCTTGTAGTGGACGAGCTACTTAGGGCTCTCAAAGATAAGGGACATAGAACCCTGGGATATGCCGATTATCTAGTGATCATGGCACAGAGAAAATACAACACTATAGTAAGAGATCGAATGCAAGAGGCTCTAAATATAGTAACAAAATGGACAGAGGCGGAAGGACTAAACATTAGCCCAAACAAATCTGACATAATTGCATTCACCCGCATGAGGAAATTGGAGGGACTAGGGCCTCTAAACCTAAGAGGTGCAAGCATCCAGCTTAAGGGGGAGGTAAAATATCTCGGGGTTATGATTGACTCGAGACTTACCTGGAACCAGCATCTAGAAAGAACCACAAGGAGAGCGGAAACCTCATTAATGATGGCAAGGCGATCCTTTGGAAAAAAATGGGGGTTAAAACCAGACATGGTATATTGGATTTATAACATGGTGGTGAGACCCATAATAACATACGCAGCTTTGGTGTGGTGGCCAAAGACACAGCAAAGGAAAGCAATAACGAGGCTTAGCAAGGTACAAAGACTTGCCTGCCTCGGAATAACGGGGGCAATGAAAACAACCCCCACTGCTGCAATGGAAGCACTAATAGGACTCCCACCTCTTCACTATGTGATACAAGGGGAGGCAAGATTAGGTGCTTACAGATTAGGGAATACACTGGGAAATCTTGACATTAGGCCAGGTCACATGAGTATCTCAAGGTTAGTGACAGGAGACGTGCTAGACATGAGATCAGACCACTTAACCAAGAGGTACTCTTTTAATACTCCTTTGAGGTTTTAATACAGGAAAGAGCGGAGATCACCATAAGGGAGCCCAATGCCCAACGACAGGAACAAACCTGGTATACAGACGGGTCTAAGACTGCGGAAGGCACTGGGGCAGGAGTATTCTCCAAAAACCCTGATACTAACCATAGCTATGCTATAGGAATACATTCCTCGGTATTTCAGGCCGAGGTATACGCAATTTTGCAATGTGCAAAAACGAACAATGAAAGAGCTGTCGAAAATCAGCATATTCAAATAATGTCAGACAGCCAAGCGGCACTTAAGGCCATATCGAGTCAGAAAGTTACGTCGAGGCTGGTATGGGAATGAATCGAAGAACTAAGAATACTGGCAGACCGAAATAGAGTAAAACTATTTTGGGTGCCAGGTCACAAAGGGATCGATGGCAACGAAAAGGCTGACGAACTTGCAAAAAGAGGGTCAGAAGAAACACCGGAACCAGACACAAACCCAGGACTCCCAGGAGTACCAAAAAGTACAGTCCGGGGTTTTATAAATGACTGGATTCGGGAACAACATATCAACTATTGGGGAAGCACCCCAAAACAGGCACATGGAAAAGCCTTTATAGGCAGACCATGTCCCAAAAGAACTAGAGAACTACTCTTAATGAATAGGAACCAGTTGAAAGTGATAACAGGGTTCATGACTGGGCACGCCCCAGTAAAGGGACACTTGAACAAAATTGGCATGTACAATGGGGAACTCATGTGCCGATTATGTCACAAGAAACCAGAAACGGCCAAACACATACTGTGCGAATGCGAAGCTCTAGATCGCAAAAGACAGGCTCTTTTTGGACAACCCCAGGTTGATCCAACAACGTATAGAACCCACTCACCCAAGGATCTGTACAAACTTGTACAAGGTACAAAGGTGATAGAGTGGGATTATGAACTAACATGGGGTAAAACACAATAAGCCAATAGGCTTCAGTGTTATTCGGAGACACATAGTCAGACGAGCCCAGGAGAGATAGAAAAAAAAAGGTTATTTTAATAGTTAGGTTTTTCTTGAGTTATTCCCCTTATTTACGAAATAAAATTAAATATTTAAATATAAAAAGTTAACTGTAGGTGTAATTATTACTAAGTTATGTTTAAAATTAAATCTTGCTGTTAAACTCATTTTTGTTAAGTAGAAATAATGTTCTTAATCCTTAATTTCCTATTTTTCATTATTCAGGCTAATTAAAAATAATTTAAAAACTATTGGTTTAGCTAACTACGGTCCTGTAATTTAATCAAAGACTGAAATAGTGTAAAATTGAGATATTTGAAAAGTACTTACTTGGAAAAGTAATATTTTTCGTGTTTTATCATCTAAAAATCATTTTTAAATTTTGATGGTAACAAATTTTTAAAAATATATATTTTATCAAAAAAATTAGTGCATCTAAAAGGACATGCGCAAATTTTAAAAGACATCTACCTAAATTGATTTTTTTCCGCTCTTTTGAGATATTTAATTAAATATGTTGAATTTGGTTATATTGTTTTTGAAACGGAAAGAAATGGTCAAATTTTATTAAGCCGGAACTGGATTTTATTTATTATTTTTATGTCATTATTTTTGTTATATTGAGGTGAGCGTAGCTGCCAAATTTAAATTTTTTTTAATAACGCTTGATTTCGAATCATCCAAGTGTCTCACACCTACAGTTAACGTATGTATTTACATTACATTCTGAAACACCTTGTATTTTGCCGGTTTAACAGAGCCGATCCTAGCAGGTGTGTAGCGCGTGCACTGCACGCGGGAGGCCAAAACACGTGGCCAATCAAACAAACATTTTAAAACTTATAAGTCGAATATATATGTTGAATTTGAAATAGTTATAGAAAAATCAAAATAAGTTCCGACTTCCCGAAAGCACTGCATAGTTTAAGAGGATAGTTCACTTCCGCCATATTTAACAAAACGTTTTTTGATTTTGACGGTTTATTACATAAAATTAATGTCTAGTATTTTATATAAGACCCAGAATGAGTTACTAGAATGTGGGAACTTCATTGTTATGCTAATATATTGTATATCAAATAGACATAATTTGTATTATCAATTTAATTGAAAAAAAAAAAAAAAATCAGGTACCTCTAACAGGAAAGATGAAAAATTTTGGTTTTTCGGACAAAAATGTCTTAAAAATGTTTATTTTCTTCATAATTTCAAATAGCATTTTGAATAAAACATTTATTGATACGTGCTAACACGGCATAATATTTGGATATGACAACATCGCACTTTTCACCATATGCTGTAATGCAATCTTTGGTGACCCGGAGTGGTATTAATAAAAATCAGTATTAACTCTTAAGTTTTTACTTATAAGTATTAGCATCAGTATTAAGTAAATACTTAAATGTATATTAAAAAATAAATGATGATACTTAGTAGTATCTACTGATTATTCTTAAATATTTTCTTCTTTAGTCGAAATTTGATTATAAGAAAAAAAAATTCAAATCCGTTTACACTTAAAAAGTATACAAACCTCAAAGAATTTACTTCTCTACATTTATTTATCGAGCATCATGGCATTCGTTTCTTCCGAAAGTGAAGAAAGTGGCAATGAGAGTGTTTCAAAAATTAATGAGTCGGATTTTACATTTGTGACCAAATTTGTGCGGGGTAAACCCTATTATTTTAAATAAAGGGAAAACTCCCGCAATTAATAAAAGTCTCGCTTAAACAACAATATGAAAGTAAGTTGTCCGCGCGGTTTCCGCGTTCGCCGCGTAAGAAGAAGAAGGAGAAGGAGACGGAGAAGGAGAAGGAGAAGGAGAAGGAGAAGGAGAAGGAGAAGGAGAAGGAGAAGGAGAAGGAGAAGGAGAAGGAGAAGGAGAAGGAGAAGGAGAAGGAGAAGGAGAAGGAGAAGGAGAAGGAGAAGGAGAAGGAGAAGGAGAAGGAGAAGGAGAAGGAGAAGGAGAAGGAGAAGGAGAAGGAGAAGGAGAAGGAGAAGGAGAAGGAGAAGGAGAAGGAGAAGGAGAAGGAGAAGGAGAAGGAGAAGGAGAAGGAGAAGGAGAAGGAGAAGGAGAAGGAGAAGGAGAAGGAGAAGGAGAAGGAGAAGGAGAAGGAGAAGGAGAAGGAGAAGGAGAAGGAGAAGGAGAAGGAGAAGGAGAAGGAGAAGGAGAAGGAGAAGGAGAAGGAGAAGGAGAAGGAGGAGAAGGAGGAGAAGGAGAAGGAGAAGGAGAAGGAGAAGGAGAAGGAGAAGGAGAAGGAGAAGGAGAAGGAGAAGGAGAAGGAGAAGGAGAAGGAGAAGGAGAAGGAGAAGGAGAAGGAGAAGGAGAAGGAGAAGGAGAAGGAGAAGGAGAAGGAGAAGGAGAAGGAGAAGGAGAAGGAGAAGGAGAAGGAGAAGGAGAAGGAGAAGGAGAAGGAGAAGAAGAAGAAGAAGAAGAAGAAGAAGAAGAAGAAGAAGAAGAAGAAGAAGAAGAAGAAGAAGAAGAAGAAGAAGAAGAAGAAGAAGAAGAAGAAGAAGAAGAAGAAGAAGAACTGGCAATTGCAACCGTCAAAGTTTCCAATAAGCCAGTGGATAAGTTGATTCTGTGTCACGATACAGAGGGTGCCTTTAATATCACTGTGCAGCGGAGGCATTTTGATAATGAAACCAAATTTAGGGAATATTTTAGACTTTCTACAGATCTTTTTGAATTCGTGTTTTGTAAAGGACGACAGTTCCAAGAAACCTACAAATAAAGTAAAATGTCCAATTTCCGCCAAGGAGAAGCTTTGCATAACATTGAGGTAAGTTTTGTTTTAATAAGAAAATTCATATTGCACAGGCTGAAAAAATAAAACCATGCACATTTTTAATCAATAATTAGTATATTCACAACTTTAACAAAAATAAACTGAACTTATTCTATATTTACTTATTTTGTACCTAATAAATTCACATTTACTGAATTACTGGTGACATCGGGCTGCCTTGTGGTGAAAAGGATTGTAAATAGGAAGCTGCACTTGAGGATCTCGATTGGTCAGAATGTATTAAATATGACGGTGATGCAACGGCAGTTAAGGGGATCGATTGGTCAGGAGGTGACAAAAATTGTGGTGTTGGAACAGAATATGATGATCTAGTTGAAGCACCAGTTGAAGCACATTGGGATCCGTGGGCTATCATAGTTCTTTGTTGGTGTTCAAATTCTAGATCTGAAATGACCTGCAGTACCTTAACTTTTGCACTTGTTTGTAAATCTGGAGGAAACTGTTCAACTGTTAAAGTAATGCTGTGAAAAAACATTGAAATTGGGGTATCATCTTTTGTATTGCTACGTAGTTCCCTTAACAAGTCCTTCATCATTTTGTTTCTTTCAGTCCGGCCTCTCCTAATTTCTTCTAGCACTGCAGCACTTCGGTCTTTTGATACTGACTTTCTTTTGCGTTTGGATGGAATAGTCACAGGTGTGTTAGGTTCTTCCACTCTTGTAGGTTGGTTTTCGTGAGGTTCTTGGTCCTCGTGAGGTTCCTGTGTATTGAAAGGAGTCTCAGTAACAAGAGAAGCTTGGGAGTCGGCCATCTCAGAATCCTCCATATCGCTCAAAACTGCTTGTGATTCGCCAACTACGTCTTGTGATTTAACGAAAATACTACCTGATTGTTCACTTTGCGTATCTGGATAGTTTTGGCTTTCACTGAGGCTACTGATAGACCTAGAAGAAAACAACTATGAGAAATTGCACAGAAAGTGACAAATTTCACAAGAGTGTGAATATTATTCCGCACACGTATGGAAAAGTGCTTTGACAGGCATACTGCGGAAAAGCAATATTAACGTTGACGCATTAACATATTTAGTAACTAATAAAGACAACAAGAGAAAGTTTTCTTTTACTTTTCGACACATGTACGGAAAAGTACTTTTCCAGACATTTGCAGGAATATTTCTGCACACATTCTTTTTATATGCGGTCACAGTAAAATAATAGATTTTATAACTAGTAGCTAAAGTACTGTTTTCTCACGAGCGTAGCGAATGCTTGAAAAGGGGCGAGTAAAAAAGAACCACGAGTTGCATGCAACATTTTTTATACTTTTAATAAAAAATTAAAAATTACGGGAAATAATTGCAAAAGAACTTTAGCAAACAAATCGCTGAAAAACTTTGCACTGACGACAAAAGTTTTGACAGGTAGTTAACGTTTCATAATAACATTACAAATAACAATTTTCACACTATTTTAGTCACATGAGTGCAGTGCAATGTTTTATGCATCGGTAAAAAAAAAGCCGCATTTTTGTAATTTGCTGACAGTGAACAAAATGCTTTTTTTGACAGGGATACCTATAAAAAAATATCTGCTATACCTTCTCTCTACAATTGACGTATTGTCAAGGAAGCTCAATTGTTTGTATTTGGCATGAAAATTTTCTAAATTACTGTTCCCGACCGAGCCAGCTTTCTGTCCTTTCATTACTTCGCGTTTTTTCTTTTGGTAATAATCGCGGATATTCTTCCATCTTATTTGGCATGCTTTATCTAAAATTAAAATAATATTTTTAGGTATAAATTATAAATATTTTTTTAGGTATTTGGCAACAGGAGAATCCTTCAGATTACTTGCATTTTAATATAGCCAGCATCACAGCTGGATAAGTGTTTCTGTGAGAGAAGTGCTCCGAAGCATTAGGAAACGCATGCTTCCAACTTTTATTCAAAACTCTCAGAAGACCGCATGAAAGCAAATACTCAAGACTACAATGATTTGTGGAACTTCCCTAATTGTTGCGGTTCAGTTGATGGAAAACATGTTCGAATTCAATGTCCAAAGTCGGCGGGGTCACTTTATTATAATTACAAGCAGTTTCACTCTATCGTATTATTGGCAATAGTCGATGCACATTGTAGATTCATCGCAATTGATGTTGGTTTGTATGGGCGAGAAGGAGATGCAAGTATTTTTGAAAAATCGTTGATGGGAAAGTGTATTAATAATGGTAATTTCAACATCTCACCTGCAATGATTCTTTCAGGGACCGAAATTTTACAACCTTATTTATACAACGTTATTTTGGCAGACAGAGCATTTTCTTTGACATCAAATATAATGAAACCTTATTCACAAAAAGATGGCAATCATGACCAATCAAAGGCTGTGTTCAATTACAGATTCAGCAGAGCGAGATGAACTTCTGAGAATGCTTCATTATTAACCCTATTGCTGCTGATGAATTAATCATTTCGGCATATATCTTGCATAATATGCTTCGAAATTCAAAAATTCCTTTTCCTAACGAAAATGCTGGTGCTTTCCCTCAATTGCCAAAATTTAATTCCATTAGCACCAACATGTTCCAGAAGATCATCTGTAGCTGCTGCTTTGGTAAGAGATACCTAGAGAAATTATTTTGTTGGACCACATGGATCAGTGCCATGGCAAAATGCAAAAGTGCAGAGAATGGAATAATCATAATTATTTCATAATATGATACTTGTGCAGCATACGGTTTTCTTTTAATACAAAGCTTTATGGAAAATATTTATATTGGTATAGTTATATTTATTCTGTAATGTGTGGAGGGTGGGTTACCCCACGGCACTTAGGCCTCATTAGGCCCATTGTGCATCCTCCTGAGAAGATAGGCACCTCCTAGCTCGTGAGCCAGCCTACACATTTAATGTAGTTGACAACGTCGCCAAGAGGGGCTTCTCTTATAGCAGCCGGTGTTAGCCGATACTCGCCAAACACAAATTTTCTAATAAATGAGAGCGTCAAGCAATCGTAAAGGATATGCTCGATGGTCTCATCTTCTTGTTCGCACCCTCTGCAGAGTGCGGATTCTGACAGCCCCATGATATGGAGATGCTTTTGTACTTGGCAATGACCAGTCAGAATGCCTGTGACTAGGCGCAGATTCTGTCTAGTCATAGTCAAGTATTTGTTTGCTGCAGTGTTGTCAGGATAACTTAAGAGCTCCCTGGCAACTCTGCAATTTCTTGTTTCATCTTATCTTTCCTTGAATTCCACAAGGCAATGTTCTTTGATTAGGTCTGTCACTACCGATTTTGTCAGGCCAATAGAAGGGCCAGGTCCAAAAAGTATTTGGTTTGCTGCTTTCTTGGCTAGTGAATCAGCAAGACGGTGACCTTTCGATATGGCGTGACCTTTAATCCATCTTAAGGTGACCACGTTGTTGATGGATACTTCGGCCAAAGCTTCGTGACATTCTAGTACTAACCCTGAATAAATTCGTGGTCTGTTCAGAGTGAGTAGTGCTTGTCTGCTATCTCTATAGATGAGCATGTTCCTTCCAGTGATATTGTTTCTGGTTATTTCTTTTGCTGCTATGAGAATCCCCGTTAGCTCTGTTTGAACTACACTGGCACTATTGCTCACATCCCATTTTATGTTTAGATTTAAGAATCTGGAGTATATTCCACATCCTGAACCTTGTATTGTTTTAGAACCGTCGGTGTAGATATGAATCGTACCAGCCACTTCTGGCTCTTCTATTTGTTCTATTATAACTTTATATGGCTTATGAAAGATATATTTTGGTGAGATGGGAGTGCATGTTTGCTTGAAGCAGTGGGAGCGTATCCAGCGCCTCCTGCCAAAAGTGACGTCTCGCATCACCAGATCCTTCTTCAGGTTCTATTCCGACCATGCGGAAACGTGTCATTGTCGTCAGAGCAACCTCCTTGATGTAAATATCAAGGGGAGTGAGACTAAGAATGACTTCCATGGCTCTAGTCGGTGTTTTTTGAATTTGTTCTAGTTTACGGATAGCTGTTAAATTTTGGGATTTCGGTACCCAGACAACTGCACCGTATGTTAGCATAGGTCTTATGATAGCCGTGTAAATCCATGCGACGACTCTGGGGGAGAAACCCCAGGTGTGCCCCACGGTTCGGCGGCATTGTTCATAAGCAATGTATGCTCTTTAAACTCTTTCTAAATGCGAGTTCCATGTTAACTTGCTGTCAAAGGTGAGACCTGCAAAGTTTAGTTTTGCGTTTAGGAGTTCTGGAGGTTTTAATTCCATTTTCAACCTTTTCCTTGTGAAAAGGACCATTTCTGTTTTCTTAGGATTGATAGACAGTGAATGGTCCTCGCATCACTGTTCTATAATTTTTAGTTAAAACTGTCTAAAACCAAAACAAAACCTCCTGCGGAGATGGAAAAACATTTTTTCTAAATTTTTTAAAACACAAACTAAAAATCACGAAATATTGCCATATTTTGTACTGATCAAGGAATAATTAAACCAAATCTAACATATTGAAATCTCCTAACAAACCGAACTTAATCTGACCTATAATAGCTTTTATTGTGCCTTTTAAAAAACTAGTTTCAAGACTAGAATTTCGCCTTTTGCAGAACATTTCGAGCATGTGGCAACATGGCACTTTTCCAACATGAAAGTCAGCTCATCACGAAAATAAAAAAACCTACATGGTTTGTTTTATTGTTTTTTGTTACGTTAGGTTAGACTATTTCTAAACATGTCTGTAAATTGTGCAAACTATAGCTCTTTGTCAGTTTTTGTAATAAATGAAAAATTGTTTTTTATTTTTCATTTTTACAGGTGGTATGCTTTTCAGACAATACTATTTATGTGTTTTTTTTAATATTTAAAATAAATGAGAACCGTACACGACATAATAACTACCTAATATTAGAATTACAGCGACTTAAAATATGTTACAACCTATAGTATATACAATTATGTTTTTCTTAATAAATAATAAAATATTTTCTTACCGTTTCTCTTCATTATCACACCAATTTTTTTCCAAATATTGTTTTTTACCACCATGTCTTTATAACTTTTTCCTGCCACACTGTATAAAGGTGGATGTTGTCGAACCAAATCTATTAAAATTTCATTATCTGTATGTGTGAATTTGTCACTCATTGTTTTAAAAATAATAATATAATTATTTGTAGGTATTCACAAACTGTCTCCGCAAACGCCGACGATTCCGCTGATATTAAACTCAACACTCTCAACAGATATGAACCGACTAGTCGCGACAAATCAGCTGCATGATGCCGTTCTGCTCGGCTAAGCGGATTCAAGAAAACCGTTCCGATTTACCGTTTTAAATACTCTGGTTGGATAAAATCGTTAAAACGCGACGGTCGACGCACTGTCCGCTCACCGCAGCGGCACAAGAATAAATAGTAACCAGAAGGATATCTCTCATTTAATTCCTTTGTAGTTGATGACGACGAACTATGACCTCGTCTTTTAGTTATTACTTGTATTCCATAGGGGCACCGAAAAGAAGGTCAGGAAATTAAAAAAAATATTGGGGAGCTATTGATTTATTTTTTAAGTTCATACATTACAAATATAAGTAAGTAAAAGATTTATATATAAATAAAAAAATATTTACTTATATTTCCAAATTACAACCTTTCTGTCTTTTATAGTTTAAAATTTCGGTTAATACATTTAAGAGTATAAAATAATCTTACTCTACCGAATAATTTTATAAAATAATTATGTGGAAATTTTTCACATGGATGTGAAAAACTTGTATTTCTACAAATACTTTGAAACGTATCTATTACATTTTTGTGTATAATAATAGTTTCAAAATTTATTTGAAATATTACCTTTAAAAAGGAGATAAATTTTACAAAATCATTGTGTGGCATGTTTAAGTTACCAAATAAATCTAAATTGGATTTGTTATAAGCTTTATAGTAACAAAATAAAGATGTAACAACCAAATTTTGAAAGGCTTTTGAATATTCCTCGCAAATTGTACAAGAATGTATAAATAAGCATTTTTTCATTAAGTAACTCGCAAAATACCTTTCGAAATTCGTTTCTAACGTGGACTCTTTTTGATAACTGCTATCAATTTCTGGCAAATTTGATGTAGGTATGGGGATGTGTATGAGCTACGAATTAATTTGCATCCTCTTTAATGACATCAGATACTCGCAGAAGCATATTATCCATGTCATTCTCGCAGTTTTGAGTTCCTGAATTGAATAGCTTTAAGCAGAACAACTTTCTAAAGGTTCTTTGAAATTGAATGACTGTTGGATTAGCACAATTACTATTTTGCTGTCTTATAAAACCAAACACATTTTCTAACGGATCTTGGTTTAAACGTCTAGTAAAAAGAAACTTAACGTTTTTTTTTAAGAAAATCCCATAAATGAAGAATGGAGCTAATTGTTATTTTAAAACCTGTTATAAACTTCATTTTTTTTAGTTACATCCTCGCCTAGGTTATTAAAAAACTTTTAAGTTGTCCAACAGCAATAACATCTCATTTAAGTATAAAATATCAAATAATATGTTGATTTTATTGATTTTATCAATAAAATCAGCAGTTGCTTGGGCTTCATTAGACAAGTTACCTAATTCGACGTACACATTTAAAGCAGCTGAAACTGTAAGACTAAGTACCTGACTTGCATATTTTACCTTCTTTTTTTCAAAATTACTAGGAAATATATGCGAATCAGTTAGTTTAGGCGCTGATCTAGTAACTAACGACTTGTCAATATTATAGAATTGCGTAATATATGACCAAGAAACTATTTTATTAGAAACAAGAAAAGTATGTTTCAGTAACATGTTTCTCATAGCCTTGATGAGGTGAGGTGTATCGAATATAAAAATTTTTTGATCGTCAAAAATAAAATAAGATCTCTCAGGGGCTATTTGCAAAAAGTTTTTACATTGAATATTATTGGAGCCCATATCACTTACGGTAACAATAACGTTCAGTCCAATATTCCTTAACTTTTTAATAGCATCAAAAACTATATACTTTAACGCTAAACCAGGGCATGTACTATTGTAAAAAATAACTCAAAGGTTGCTTCCAATTAGAGAAAATCCCCCTGATCAACAAGACGGTGGCTGTTCTTGCTGGTTTAAATACTCTTTTCCCATTGCCGGGATCTTCCACGCCTACAACATAATCCGCACTACGGTTAAAAAAAAATTTTGCCTTTATACTTATCTCATCCACACACACAATATTTTTCCATTTCATTAAAATTGTCAGCTTTAATTTTAAGTGTTTTGAACATATTGGAGACTTCTAAACCTAGTGGGATGTCTATTCCACGTAATAAGATTCTAAGGGATTGCGGCCCAGGCAGGCAAAATAATTTAGTTAGAACTGTTTTATAAACCTTTGGGCCAGAGAAATATAGTAATAAACACTTAAATTTAAATTCGTCCGAATACCTTCGACCTTTAGCTGATTTCATGATTTGGGTAATCTGAACATTAATAAATTTTGCGAGTTCTTTGGATGGGCACAGTGAATACGTACAAGTTTTGTTCTGTTAGAGTGATCGTGTCTTCCAATTTTTTTAAGCTTCTTTTCAAGATTGTTAGATTTATTAAGAAGGACCTGGTTGTCTCTTTTCAAAGCTTTGTTCTCAAATTTCAGGGCATTGTTGATCTCCCTTAGTTTTTCCTTTCTTGGGCTTCGAAAAGTTAGTTCCTCTGATGTTTGGACACTCCGTGAAGGAAAACGTATTAGAGACCGCTGAATCGATTCTGCCTTATCGCAAGAGTTGCCAATGGTTGAAGCTGATGGTTCCAAAAGCTGATATAAAATACTCGTACAAGGCACTTGAGAGGTTTCAGTGCTAGAAGTCGATGTACTTGGAACTGACTCGTCAATGATGCCACTTAAAACGAATTTGAGTGGAACAGCATCTTTTCGCAGTATTTGTCTCTTTCCTTTTTGGAACATCCGTTGAGAAAAAGGAGCATCACAAATTATATAGCTCTTGTGAAGAGTGTCTACTTTGTATAATAAATCTGGTCTATAACACGCTCTGAAAAAAGATTTACACTTATTTTTCATTTTATTGTGATGTTTATTTATTTTAAACAACAGTTTATTTATTAATAATTTATTTAAACACGTATTTATTTT